ATTTAATCAGCCAGGGTGCAGCTGGGACGTCGCAATTTTTAAACGTCCCCGAGTGATTTTTGTGCTCGGAATCCCGGCGCGCGCGTCGGGTCCCCGCGACAGAATTGCCAGCTTCTGAATCTGGCCGCCTGGGAAAAAGAAAGGAAGAGAAAAGAAAGAGAGGGAGGGGGAGGGAGAGGGGAGGGAGGGAGGAAGAAAGAGCGTGGCCCACGTGGTGCGCGGGCCCCCAGGGCGTCCCACCCCAGGCGGGCGCGGAGTCCCGCCCTTGGATAAACTCCGAGCCTCCCTCGGCTGCGAGCCAGTGACGCGGCGCCTGCTGCGGACCAGGCGGGCTTCTCAGCGGCAGCAGGGCAGCGTGACCTGGGTGAGTTGCAGAGGTGTGGACCAAGGGGTGGGTTGCGGGGCCAGCTGACCTCTGGGCATGCGAGGCCCGCAGTTACGAGCTGCGGACGGTTAGAGGCCGCGGCCGGGGGCGGTGCTGGAGGGGGACGAGCCAGACGGAGCGCAGGGTGCAGCGTCCCGTAGGCGCCCACCTCTTCGGCTGCCCACGCGCCCCAGGTCCCTGAGGAGGAGCTGCTAGCCTCCCTCCCCATCCCTGAGCAGAGCGGGATGCCTCCCTGGTCCCCTTCGGTGCACTCTGCCCAGGTGGCCTGCTCTCTGCATCTACCCGTCTCTCTCCAGCCCCCTCAACTCACCCCATGAGGCAGACTTGCGGCCGCGCCCTGGACCGGGAAGGGGACGTCACCTGTTTACACTGCGCCAAGTTAGCTCAGCTTCTGGACTAAGTGGGGAGGCCGTGGGACGGGGACACCAAAGAAGTCTTCAGCCTGATTAAATTTAACACATACGCTCCCTGACTTCCTAAGCAGGAGGTTTTACACTAAAACCAAACCGGACATTTACTTGTGTTTGCAAGTATGCTTACCATAACCCTCTTTCACTGGGCCAGCCAGGGATAGGTGATCCACAAGCCAGCAGGAACAGCAATCAGAGCCCTAGCTGGTATTTATTTTGCTGCCATTATGTGCCTGGCACTGTTGGCAAGGCTTCCACACTGGCGGAGCCGGCGGGGAAAAGGAGGGGAGATGATGAGTAACCTGGCAGGTGTGGAAGTCCAGCCCAAAGTCGTCTGGCCCCACCCTCTGCGTCCCGGAGAGGGCTATGCCCAGGGCAGCAGGGGCCTTTTTTTCCCCCCACATTTGCTCAGAAGTTCCATATGCAGTAGCCCTGACCATATGATACTCCTTAATTCTTCACCTGTATTAACCTCCTTCAATTTCCATACCTTCCTTGTGTCATAAATTTCGGTAGGTGCTAGTAGAATCCCGCTAGTCAGAGGAGGAAACTGAGGCACAAGAGATGCAACAATTTTTAACAGGGATGCGGAGAGGTTAGTGGCAGATCCAGACTTTCATCTCTAGATCTCACCGCCTGTGCAGGTCCCCAGCAGACACCCTGAACGCCAAATGAAAGAGACCTCAGGATGCCAAGCTCTTAAGGACTTAGGAAGCCATCTGCCAAGACAGGGGTTAACAGTGGGCTTGTGTTGTATTAGTGGGGGCTGCATCACGTAAGCATTGAGACAGCAGAAAACTGAAGTCTAGGACCCCCAGCACTTACTTTTATGTCAGCCAGGTCAGTGGTGAGACTTCCAGCCACCTGCATGGTGCTGGAGACACTGAGGAGAGAGGTAGAACTCTGTCCTCCTGGTGTGGACTTACATCACAGTATGCATGGCCAGGTGTGGGTCTTCTCATGGAAGGAGTGCTGGCAGCACCCCAGCTGCCTCCTGCAGAGGGTGCCCAAGATGTCACACTCCTGTGGGAAGTCTGACCTTCTTCCTTCTGGTCTGCTGGTACCCACCCCGTGACTGTGTGCTGAAAACGAGAGACTGTTCACCCATCAGGGCACCTTCTTTCCAAGTTCTGCACAGCCTGCGTGACCCAATCAATCATCCACAAGCTATTCCATGAAAATAAATCCAAGCAAAGTGGCAGAGAGTCTGAGAGCCTGTTCATCCAAAGTGAAACCCAGTACTCCTTGTTGGACCAGAACATCCATGTCCCCCCACTGCCAGCATTCTTATGGCCTGGACAGCACTGGACACAGGGCAAACCTACCTCAAGACTCAAACTCTTCTGTTCCTGTACCAAGCAAACCACTCCCAGATCTCTCTGCCCCACACCCTGCATCATTTACACATCCAATTAAATGTCAGTTTCCCACAAGGCTCTCCTGTGGCTTCCTCCCCTAATCCCAAACCAAAGCAGATCTCCTGTCTGCTCTCTAGAGCACCTTCCACTTTTCTTTATAATACTACAGCCTGTAATGATGTATTTCTTGCTTTACTAGACCCTTATTATGGGGCAGAGGTTATGGGAGGCTGCCCACCATCGGACCTGTGCAGGGTCAGTGCTCAGTAAACGTAATGATGAACTCACGTGGCCTGCAGGAGCTAATACAGGACCTCGGCTAAACCACACACGTTCTCTTAGGTCCTCAGTCTTGCCTGGAGAATCAGCCAAGAAGCAACAATTTAGGTCAGGACAATTTCCTAAGGGTCTAACCACGCTTCGGTGAATCTGTGATAACTAGTCTCTCCTCAGCCAAACTGCAAAGTAAGGGACAAACTGCTGTTCTTTAATGAAGTACATCTCCTGCCCTTATCTCCGCCTCTCATGGAAGCCCCCTCCCCTATCTCCCGCAGCACAGTCGGCCCCTTCTCTTGTCCTGGAGGAAATAAGACCTTCCCTTCTTTCTCAGCTGGCTGTTAGTAGAGCATCTTATAAGCTCATTCTCACTAAAGTGACTGATAGGATATAAGCATTGAGCCTTGTATGAGTTTGTCAAGGGAAGGCCTTTTAGTTGTTCAGCAAACCTATTGAGTGCCTTCGTGTACGCAGCACTATGAGTCTGAGAAACAGGATAACATCATAAAGTGCTTACTTTGGGCTGGTATTGTGGTCACACGTACAGACACTCTCATTCCATCTGCAAAACCACCCGAGGCCACAGGACCCATAAAGGTGAAGAGACTGGGAGCCAAAGTGGCTACATGGCTGCCCCAGCTTCCACAGCCAGGCAGGGGCAGGGCGCAGCCAACTGTCACTGTGTCCTACAATCACAGGGCCCAGTGGTACATGACATCGCGCAGGGGCTGCAGAGCCTGGGGCGGGTACACTGTGCTGATGGCAAATCAGTGGGGAAAGCCTTAGCAAGTCTAATTGCTCCTCTTCAGGTAGGTTATACAAATAGAATTTTACATTTTCCTCTTGAATCTCAGATTTTGAAGAACAACAGTGGAGATGAGAAAACAGAAACCTAAAAGGAGGCAAAAATAAAACCAGAAGGGTAGCAGTTATGTCATAAATACAACGAGGCCAAGACTCTGAACATGAAATCAACCAACAGGACGTGTGATTATTATGAAGAAAGGTTAACTATGAAAAATAGTGAGCTTTCTCCTTTGGGTTAAATTTGGGCATAGCTACAGTTCCTGGTTAATGAACGTTTCTGTCTCAGGTAACGCTCAGCAGGTACGCGGGTGTGCAGTGAGCTTGGGGCTCTGAGTACAAGTCAGCCAAGACAAGATCCTGTGGGTTCCCATCCCTTTCTAAGTTCGGAGTCTGCTTCTGCTCTGAACCGAGAGATGCTGACATCACACTGCTTTGTTTCTTACACTATTTCAGAAAACCACGTGCTCTGTGTAGTAAGCAAACCCAGAGGGAAGGGATCCCTGGATCTTCACGTGAGTCTCTCTTTCATTACAGGTGTCCGCCAGAACATGGCGCCCAGCGTGAACTCAGCCAAGGAGCTGTCCATTTTCTTAGCAAAGACAATATTTGCTTTTCTGGAGGCTGCGATTTTTGCCTTAATCCCAAAGCCACTGAAGAATGTTGCTGGTGAAATTGTACTTATAACAGGTGCGGGGAGTGGACTTGGAAGGCTCTTAGCCATCAAATTTGCCCACCTGGGGTCAGTGCTTGTTCTCTGGGATATCAATGAGGAAGGCAACGAGGAGACGCGCAGGATGGCTCAGGAGGCTGGAGCCACGAGGGTCCACGCCTACACCTGTGACTGCAGCCGGAAGGAGGAAGTGTACAGGGTGGCCGATCAGGTAAATCTTGGGTGCTTCCCGTTTTCTCTGGGGAAAAAGCTTATACTTCGACATGCATCAGTTTCTTCGTCTGTCTGCCTCTCTCCAGCATCCCTTTAACTTAAAAAAATACTGGGGAGTGGGAATGAGGATTTTTGAGTTTTCACCACCTGCAATCCACCATGCTAAGCACCCTGTATGAACTGTATCATAATCCTGTAAAGCCAGACCAATCGCTACCTCCACTTCACAGATAAGGAAACGGAGACCTAGGGCAGGCACACTGCTCACCTGAGAAACACAGGTAACAAGTGGCAGAGCGACAGCTGGGACTTGAGTCCGCTGACTCTGTGTTCCACCCTCTAACCAGCACGCGTGCTGACCATGCTGGACCCCATTACAGTCAGTGTAAGAGGTGGGTGGTGGCACCCCTTTTTGAGGGTAAAGAAACTGAAAAACAGGGATGTTAAATAGCCTGTTCAGGGTCACAGAACTAGCACGTGATTCAGCCAGGACGTGAACCCGTATCTAGTCTGATTGTAAATCTGGTTGTTTCCCCAACTCCGACAGTGCTTGCCACTGAACATGCATTTCTCTTAAGTTGTCAGATGGAAATCAGAATATTCTGTTAATCCCGAAGATCCTTAGCTGTAGCTGCTCCTTTGGCGATGAGACAGATGCGCTTAGAAAGAGTGCTCTCGGGAAACCAGAGCCCCAGTGGCCAGGGGTGCGGGTACGTGTTCATTCACCGAGGTACATACATGTTTGTGGCCGCCTCTTTTCCTCCACGAGGATTTCCCTGGCCTGTCATTGGTCCACACATCACTCTCCCGGGCCACTTTTCTGTGGATCTCAGAATTGCCGGCTTCACAAGGAGGGAAGCAGACGGGCTTGTGACTGGCAGCCCAGCCGTGCCAGCAGGCTCTCCCACAGCTTGCAGGCTCTAACCAGGGTCTCTGCTGCTTCCTGCGTCACTCCCTAGTAGAAAGGTTTGCAGTCCCTGGCCGGTGGGATTCTAACTTTTAAGTCTGTCTTTTGCTTTATATTTTACACATCAGTTCCTACCATCACCGATCGCAGGCTGCCCGGGTCAGTCTAGGGATCCAAACTGACAAGCTGGCGTGGGCTTATGCCGGGACCACCCTTCAGAGTGCAGGGGTGTCAGCTGCAGTCACCCTGACAATTTCAGCTCTTTGCACTGGGAGCACCAGTCACCTGGCGTGTTGACTTACACTGATGCAGGTGACTTCCACGGCCACTCTTAAGCAGTCTGGTTCCTATTTAAACACGAAAGAGCATAAGAGATTGAAACTCTCAACCAACCATTCCTCCTTCTTGTTCTTGATAGAGGGAAGTTACCAGAGGAGTTTAATCCCTTAGAGGGATGATCTGGGTGCAGAGTTTCAGAGCTGTATAACAGTGTTTTATCTCCAAGGTCCCCCAAAACTTTGAGAGCTTGTGTCCCCAGCTCCCAGCTTGGCACCGAGTTCAGAAAGTCCACCTTGCTACTCGGCCTCCAGGATGAGACAGTATTATGAACAATAAACACAAGACCATACTGGAACTATGGAGTTGCCACTCACCCTTCACAGAGCATGCATGTGACATGACTGTGTATGCAGTGCTCCCTTAGACGAGGAAAATCAGAACTGATTTGTTGGCATACTTCCAATTGACTGCAAGGTTGCAACGGGAAAAAAAAACCCTCTATTTGTAACATCTGTGAAAATTTCTTAAGGTTTATTACTGATTCCTGATGTCCAAAGTCAAATTTCAAGATTGTTTCATCTTTTAAACCATGTGGTCACTGGTAGAAGCAGACCTTTCCCTGTTGCCCACCAGGACTAGTAAGTAGTGGCTGGGAACCTCAAACCAGCCATCCCCAGCAGGTGAGATTAGACAGGGGCACGCACGGTCTTCCTGTGGATTCTTGATTCCAGAGCGAGGACGTTCATGGCAAAATCTTGCCGGCAGGAGGGCACAGCTAATACGGGAGGCTTGTCTTTGAAGGTTGAACAGGCTGTTGCCACATTCTTAAAATGAGGAAAATAATGGATTCAAAAAAGAAAACTATGAAATACTAAAATCTGTTGCATCCTCCCTAAGATGTCAGTCCTGGGCCCCTTATAAAAACAACACAATGCCAGCAAGCTGATCCTCCTCCCAAGGATGAGAACTGTATTGGGTTATCATCGATCAGTACTAGTTAAATGTAGAATTAAGCCACAGACAGTGACGCCCTTTTCTCCCTCACGGAGCAGAGGCTGAGTACTCCTGATGCCTTTCCGTACTAATTTTAGGGGGAAAAGTAGACTTTGGAGCAAGACAACCCTTTAAAAAAAAAAAGGAATAACCCTGTGTATGAAATAGACAATAGCACGGAAGACTACTGACATGAAAAAGCCTGTCACAAGTGCTTAGGTTAGTACATTTAAAGGAGGAGTCATAAAGATAGAGTTTTCTGTACAGCCAAGATGCAAGTCATGGATAACAAAACCCTGGGTTGCCTGCTTTGAACTTCAAGTCTGATGCTTCTCACATCAAGTTTATGATAGCAGGCTTTAGTCACATGTTTGGTGGCGGAGGAATCATGCACCTACTATACCTCTGAGATGTCACTTCTAGCTTTGCCGTCCCTGGCTGAGCTGGGACGTCAGCCTCCAGCCCACAGCCCTAGCCGATGTGGTTTTCCCCCACGCAGGGCTCAGCAACTCTGACCACTGTGCCACTCGGATTTGATTGAATATTTTAGCCTCTCTCCAAATCAGACTTTAAGTTAGCTTGTTTCCAGTGCTTTTATCTGAAAACTTCAACATAAAATGTGAGGTTTCCTCAGCCTTGATTTCATCCTAAGTTTCCCCGAGGCTGCAGATCTAGCTGGCTAGCAGTTACCAAGCACACGTCACCCTCGTGGCTGGCCTTGCACAGCGGCAGGTGAGAAAGGTGGAAGCATCCGCCTGGCTTCAGTGATACACCCTCCCTGTGCCAAACTGCACCACTTGCACAGGCAGGTGCGCACGCACACACACACACACACAGAGACCTAGCGATGTAACTGGCCCTGCTCGGAGCCTCTAGATCTTACGCCTAAAAGAGAACCAGTCAGCTGATGAAAACAGGACGTACGGGCTCGGAGCTGTGCTGTGTGTCTGTAACACGTGTGGGAGTATCACACACCCTCCTCGCCCTCCCTACTCACTCCGTGTGCTGAGTCTTGATTCACATGGCACGGCTGTAACGCCTGGGGTCCCATCGCGGTAATTCAAATGATGCGCTGCTGACACAGAGCCTAGGACAAAGTTGCTCATCGCTGAGCACAAGACTGGCTCCACCAGTAGAAGGAAAGTAGCGTTGCAGCGTGGGGACTGCCACAAGAAGTGGGGGAATGAGAATTAAGGCATCAGACGTGGGTCTCTGGTGCACCATTGCCTCTGCAGAGGAAATAAAACACACTTTGTTTTGAGAGTGTTTAACTCGTTCTGGGTTAACAGGGCCTGGAAGCACGTAAAACTAAGGGAAAGTAAACCCAGATCACAGAAGGGATTATGGGCAAACCTCGTTTTACTGTGCTCTGCTTCATTGCAAGTCACAGATTCTGTGTTCTTTACAATTCGAAGGTTTTTCACACACTGAAGGTTTGTAGCAGCCCTACCTTGAGCAAGTCTATTGGAACCATTTTTCCAACGGCATTGCTCACCTCGTGTCTCAGGGTCACATTTTGGTAATTCTTACAGTATTTCACATCTTTTCAATACTGTTATATTTGTTACAGGGATCTCTCATCAGCAGTCTTTGTTACTACCACAACTCACTGAAGCCTCAGGTGATGGTTAGCATTTTTTTAATCAAAAAAAATTAATTAAGAATGTACATTTTTTAGACATATGCTATTGCACACTTAATAGACTACAGTATAGTGTAAATGTAACTTTTTTTAAACATTTTTTATTGATTTATAATCATTTTACAATGTTGTGTGCAAATTCCAGTAGTGTAAATGTAACTTTTATACACACTGGGAAACCAAAAAAGCTGTGAGACTCGTTTTATTGCGATATTCACTTCACTGCGGGTGGCCTGGAGCCGAGCCGTGCCTGGGCTGCATTCACGGTTCTGCTCTTACTATTCAATTCAGGTTAAGAAAGAAGTTGGTGACGTTTCCATCCTAATCAACAATGCTGGAATCGTAACAGGCAGAAAGTTCCTCGACTGCCCAGACGAGCTTATGGAAAAGTCTTTTGATGTGAATTTCAAAGCACATTTATGGGTAACTATTTTTCCTTCTCGTCATAAATACAAAGTTACTCTGGTGTTAGAAGCATCTTCCTCCTGTTCTCTTGTAATAGTATTAGCCTGTAAATAAAGCCCAGATTTCTCAGTTTCAGACTTGTCCTAGTCTACCCAGCTGCCCTCTCCTGATCCAACTCAACCTGTATCTCCCAGAGCGTCTGCTCAGGGAGTCCTACAGAGACACAGCTGTCCTCACGTCATAACCACATGCCAAGGGCCAGGCTGTGTCAGGGTCCATCCCAGGCACCTCATGAATAACCCTTACAACAGCTCAGTGAGGTAAGGGCTCACAGAAGTTAAAGATGACAGCTCGAGAATCAAGTGACCTTGCCATGTGCCTAGGCTGGGAAGCTTTTGAAGTGAGAGGAGTGATTCACAAGCATCAATCAGGTCTGTTCTGGACAAACCAAGACTCACGGTCGCCTCACTCAGAACCTAACAAGGGAAAGGAGAGTTCCCCCGACAGCCCTGGTGACTCCGTGCCACCGTCCTCACTTCCAAGGCCATGTGCCCGCTTCCAAGATGCACTTTCCCGGCCTTTGCAGAGACCAGTCATGCCAGCCTCCCCAGCTGTGCACATGCCCCAGCCCTGCCTCTCCTGGCTCTTGCTCACAGCTCGCCCTCCCCTGGGCCAGCTCTCTCCATCCGGGAGGGAGTGTTCGCTGGACATTTCTGAGACACCCCTCTCCGTCCCTCCACACCATCCACAGGTTCTCCCGCCCAGCGCTCCTGTGACAGCCTTCACATCCCATTCGGAGCGTGTAGGTTTCCTGTCCCCTGGTTCCCCAGAACCACCATGGTGCTGGCGGTGTTCTTGGTGTTCTGTATAGTTTTCAGGAGAAAGATGGAAAGATTCAGAGAGCTAAGTGGCCACCCTGTTCCTTCAAGAACGGCAGATGGTTGATGCTGTCCTGTTCCAAACATCCCTCCACTTAGTGAGGATGAAGTCAGAAGGCACGGTCAGGATGAAGATGAAGGTGTCATCTCCAAGGAGTCTCCACTCTGTGCTCTTCATCCACCTGTTCGTCCCCGTCTCTGTCATGGTGTCTGCTTTCTGTTCCTTCTCTCTCCCCTGCTAGTTGTTCCTGAGCTGCCGTGTTTCCCCAGCCCCGGGCACCCCCTCCCGCCCTCACACCTGTGCACCCTTTCCCAGCGCGTTTGCATGCGTCCTCTGAGTGACTACACAGAGTAGGCATGTAATTGCTAAGGGTCAGAGAGCTCATGGTGACCATGCTCGCAAGGGGCGTGTCCCCACGGGGAAGCGAAGTGACTCATCACGGACCATCCGAGCCCAGAGCACCATTCATCACGCTGCTGTTTGCTGGGGTTTGATTTTCCACTTCTCTCTACATCACTTTCCCTCTGAAACTCACTGCAATGCAGACAAAGGTGGTTTGACTTTTATACGAGATCCCTTTTCTCCCAAGTATTCATATTTGAAAACATGAAGTATACACTTACTTCACAGAAACAGGCAACTATCCCGATCTGATTCATCATCTCTTTGTTGCGCAGCACACCTCCCGACGCTTATTCGGCTTGTGCCTTCTTTCTCTGGGTCCCACAGGCAAGGTGACGGCGTTCCACGTACTGAGACACAGTGTGCGTCCTGCTCACAGAGACTCTTTTTTATGACATGAGATAAAAATAAGAAACCGCTGTTCAAAGAAGTAAAGATGAGTTTAAAAACAAAGTGATGCTTTTAAACCAAAGGCAACAGCCGCATGACCTGTGAACGGTGTTCAGGAACACTTGAAATTCAAATGTAAGCCCAGGGGCGAAAAAGGCGCTGTAAATCTAAATAATCAGATCCTTCAGTGCTCTCGCTGGTTTGTCGACTGCGACTGCCACAGCTAAGACCTCCCTGTACTGCTTCGATTGTTGTCTTCACACTGTGTTTTTGAAAGGCAAATATGAGCACAATACAAGTCTGAGTAACTCATTTTTTATAATATTGGAATTGCCATCAGGAAATTTAACAGGTTAAATAAGTTAAGACGGTCACTTTCCAGATGTTAAGTTTTACTATCCCAGTGCTTTCGGGGACTTTTTGAGCTTAAAAATTTTTTTCAATCACAGTAATCATACATCTGAAAGAATAAAATAAAACGTGGCATAAAATGTCAAACATTTTACTTTGCTCTTCTTAGACATATAAAGCCTTTCTACCTGCTATGATTGCTAATGACCATGGACACTTGGTTTGCATTTCAAGTTCAGCTGGATTAATTGGAATAAATCAACTGGCAGGTAAGAGAAATGTAGTATTTCACAAATGCAGAATTTTTTATGACTGTAACTTGGTTAATAGCTCTGAATAATCAGCAGGGACTTGCTGCCCTAAATTCACTGTGCAGCAAAACTGCCCATCAGCTATACCTGCACAACGTTGAGCTGTGCACTTTGGAGTCATGAGGTCTTATGCAACCCCCTGGGTTTAAAAAAAGAAAGAGAGAGAGACCCTACTGATAAATTTCTTACACAAGAGATTAGCATGGTCACCATCTCCCAAAACTCACCTAGTACTGTCACCAGGGTGAAAAGGGGGGCCCTTCCGCCTTATGAAGTTCCCATTAAGTAGTCTCTGCTAGCCATGAGTTTGGAGAAATGTCTTCACTTCAAGAAACCTACAGTTAACCTCTTTGCTTTCTATTGAAGACCTACAGGAAGTGGTTGTCACTTCCACTTTTCTCGCACCTGACTTGACATTAGCAGTGGGGAGGGGACAAAGAGATACACCGAGATCTTCGGTGAAGGAGGCCCACTCGGGAGCTCCCTCTCAGAGGGGTGCAAGTCTTGTTCTTGCCCCCCAGGGCTTCCCCTGGGGCAAATGTCCTGAGTGTGGGCTCAGGCCCACCCCTCAGAACCCTAACTGTAACCCAGCTGGCCAGTGGGACACTTCCTAGCACGTTGGAGCTGAGCAGTGGAGCTGGAGCAAGATTCACAACACTAGACCTAGCACGGTACGTGTCAGCCACACGGACAGGTTTCCAGAAGCACAGGTCACCCCAGGTGCTACCAGTCTTCACACATCTCCCTGCTTTTCCCTTCCTCTGTCCTTCTTAGAATTCATCAGGTGTTATTATCTCTCTTACAGGTCTGAGAAATACAGGGCTTTGAAATAATGCAAGTATCTTTGCTGCTCCTATTAATCCTTTTTGTTGTTTTTTTGGATGCAATACCTCTATGTTCAGATGCAAGATTCTCCCACACCCTGCTCCCCTGAGGAACAAGTGCAAGCCCTGTGAGTCCCCACAGTGTGGGTGGTGGCTCCCCTGCCTCAGAACCACCACAGGTGCTGCTTAGAATGCAGATTCCCTGGTCCTGGGCCATATCTGCTCATCCGACTCTCAGAGGTGCGGGAGCTCGGGGAGCTGCACTTACTCCGAACGCCTCAGATGACCTAGAAGCGGCTCCCCGTCCCTTCCTCTCTCACCTTACCCACCATCCGGGGCAGTGGTGGCGCCGGCCAGCCCCACCCCTGACACCTGCAGCCTAGTCCTGGCTGGCTGTAGCGGCCGCTCCCTGACAGAGCAAGGGAGTGTGCAGCTCTTGCCCCCTCTGACCGTGCGAGGCAAAGCACAGCGTAGGACCGCCCGAACGCCCTTCCTCCAGATGTCTCTGTGCAGCAAACTGAGTATTCAGGTGTTTACTTGAAGTGAGGGTGACTGAGGACAGAAAGCTCAATCTTCCCACTCCCCCGAACTTCAATATACTTGAGCAGCTCAGGATGACGGTACCGAGTCCTCTGTTTCCCTTCTGAAAGAGGAAGAATTAGAGTTGGAAGAAAACGGACCCGCGTTGTCATGACCTATGCTGCTCTCCGCCGCCTGGACTCCTACTTCGCTTACTATTTTCTCTCTTCCTTTGTGAGTCTTCCTGCCTCAGTGGGGCTGCGGTGCTTTGGGTCAGGGACTGGACGCACATCTTGTATCCATGTCACAGCTGGCACGGCGTCTGACCGCTTACTAGCGGGAATAAAGCCCAGCTGGGCGACCCCCGGGAGGCCCCCTGCAGCCTGCTTCCCCTGGAGTCTGCTTGGTCGTTGTCAACTGACCTAGAGATGGCGGCGGTCCTTCTCTCTCACTCCCCACTTCTTCCGGGCGAAGCCGACCACGATCACACAAGCAAGCACTCTGACGCTGCTGTCCATTCCCTGGTGCTGCTCGTGTTACGAGGAAACGTTAATGTGATGCCTTCTACAAACTTCACACCATACATTAACATTGTTTGCCTTTTCAGATTATTGTGCAAGTAAATTTGCAGCCTTCGGATTTGCTGAATCTATATTTCTAGAAACACTTGCCCAGAAACAAAATGGAATCAAAACCACTATTGTATGCCCATTTTTTATAAAAACTGGAATGTTTGAAGGTTGCACTAGTAGGTAAGCATGTCCTTTGATTTCCAAGAAACTATATTTTGTTTTAATGATTGGTCATGTATTTTAATAGGTTCTATCTGTTTTTTAAAGTTGTTTAAAAAGATATTTTCTCCAGGAGTCATCCTGATTTATAATGAATGGTTTCAGAATTGTGTTTTTCCTCAAGTGTGTCAGTGTCTAAGATGTCGAGTCCAACGGGAATGGTTTTTCAAGGCTGTATCCAAGTACAGCCACCCCGAGGCCCAGGCCCGCTCCTCCCTCTCCTCGGCGCTCCCGTCACGGCCCCGTTCAGCCAGCCGACTCCATCCTGCCCTCATTCCCGATTCCACAGGACTTGAAATCATTAAAGGGGCACAAATGCCCAGTCTGCACTCGTGAGATGACAGGCAGTTACTTTTCAAAGACATGCTGTACGATATTTAGACCAACACCGTCTCACACATGTGCGTAACATCAGTGTATTTGTGAGAATCATCATGTTCCATAGCAAACTCTAGTTATCACTCACCACGTTGATGATAAGGGAGTAAGGAGAGACATAAACCAAATCTGGAAGGGAAAGAAGAAGATGAATGATAACGTCTTATAACTGTTTTATCCAAATTTGTAAGAACTGCTTTTATTAATTTCTTGCTTTGGGTTTTCTTTTTGACTCCCCAGCTGTCCTTTTCTGTTACCGATTCTGGAGCCAGAATATGCAGTCAGGAAGATAGTAGACGCTATCCTGCAGGAAAAAACGTACCTGTATATGCCAAAGTTTATATACTTTATGGTGTTCCTAAAAAGGTAACCGTATCAGCTTCTATGGCTTCTGTAATGTGCCGATCCAGTCAAAACTTGACTCCACATCCTATTGAGGAGAGCCACTGAAAACATTTCTGTTAATGAATTTTGGTCCCTCAAATTTGCATAGCTACTGTGAGAAAATGGAGTTGGTACTGTAATTCCAATTGTAAAGGACATGGGACTTAATTTTTTCCAATGTTTTTGAATGATTTTAGAGGTTACATTTACTTTGTAGGCTGTTAGTTCTGTGCCCATTTGAAAGAGATCTGCAGAGTTCCTGAGAAGGCTCTGAAAACCTGGCGTTCAGTGATGGGGAGTCACACCACACAGTCCTTCACACACTCACTCCACAAGCACCCGAGGGCCCAGGGTGTGCCCGGCACTGCTGGCCACCCTGGGATTTGGGTTACAGCAAAGAGACGAGAGTCCCTGCTCTCATGAAAATCCTCTTCTTGGGGGGTTGGTGGAGGGAACAAACAAAAAGTAAAGTGAAAGGAAGGCATTCTGGGAGGTCGTAAGTGCTATGACGACATCTAAAGGAAATACAAAGCAGGAGAAGGAAATCCCAGGGCGGGAGGTGGAGCGCTGCACCGAGATTCAGTCGTCAGTGTGGTGCCCAGTGGAGTCTCATGGAGAAGGCAACAGTTGACTGGAGACCTGAAGCTGGAGCGGGCAGGACCCCATGGGGATCTTGGGTTGTCCCCAGAGGGACCCCACTCCTAGGATGAGTCTCAGGTTTGTTTGCTGTGCCTCCACTCACTCTGCAAGGTGAATGTCAGGGTGGACAGGGTCAGAGTGCTCTGCCTAGAGGAGGGGAGGACACCCAGTCCTAGCTGGGTCTTGCCAGAGGTCTAAGGAGCTCCTGCATCAAATCCCCCCAGTACTCCCAGAAAGAAAGACTGATGCCCTCACTCGACGCTGGAAGAAAGGGCGGCTCGTGAGCTCAGTGACTTGCCGGGGATGGCATTGTGAGGGACAGAGCCAGGGCGCAAGCCAGGCTCTCCGACTACACAAGACTTCACTGCGTCCTAATAGTGACGCTTTGGAGACTGACAGGGGAAGCGAGCGAATGACATAAATAAAGCAAGGAGGGATACAGAGACCCTGGGCCAGCGTCTTCCCATGTAGCGGACAAGCCCCGAGTGACCATGAGGCAGGCACATTCATGCGCGCGTGTGTGAATGACTTCTTCTGCGACAATCGATGCTGCTGCTTTTCAGCAGAGCTGGTAAAGATGCTTCAATGAATGATAACCAAGAACGTTCACTCTTGTGTTCTCTTTAGTTTCTTGCCCATCAAGGTGGGAATCCTTCTGGCCGAATATTTGCGTGTCCTTCATTTTATGGATAGCTTCACTGGGCAAAAGAAGAAAGACTGAAGCCCAGCTCTGTGGCTGATGTCCCCTGATACCCACCATGACATAACATCTGTTTCAGTGAGGAGAATGCCTTTGCCCAACAGAATGTATCTGGAAACTACAAGCACCACTCTTAGTCTGCTGTCTGGACTCAACCAATGCCTTTGGAAACCTTCAACCAATCTTCAACCAATAACTTTGAAAATAATGTCACTCTGCTTTTCTGTTGTGCTTTTTTTTTTTAATTTGAAAAGAATCCCACTTTCATCATTCCTGCTTGTGTCAGATGCGGAACGAGAACCCTCTCTCGTGAGCTGCTCTGTGCTTTGGTCACCGGGGAGGTGGCTGCAGTGGGGCAGGTGGCCGAGCTTGAGCCTGCATGGGGAAATGGAGGTGAGCGCCGACAAGCGCGGGTGAGTGCTGAGCGGGAGAGCCCTCTCCCCAGACGACACGGAGCTCGCAGCCCTGGCCTTGTTGACGCGGTGCTGCACTGGGGTAGAAAAGGCCAGCCTCGCATGTCCCTTTTACAGAGTAGCCACACGAACGCTTTTTTATAATTTCTATTTTTCCTTGAAATGTAGTTGATTTACAATGTTAGTTTCAGGTGTGCAGCCAAGTGATTCAGTTACTCGTTTACATACACATGTATTTTTTCAGATTCTTTTCCATTATAGGTTATCACAAGAAATTGAAGATAATTTCCTATGCTGTACAGTAGTTCCTTGTTGTTTATTTTATATATAGTAGTGTGTATCTGTTAATCCCCAAACTCCTAATTTCTCTCTCTCCCCTTTGGTAACCATAGTTTATTCTCTGTGTCCGTGAGTCTATTTCTGGACAAACACTTACTTCTACAGCCCTGGGTGCTCACAGACTAAGTGCCAAGCCTGCTGAAGGTACACCAGGGCCACCGTGTCAGGAAGCCTGACTGCACATTCCCGGGATGACCTAAGGAGGCAGTGATCCTAGACCAAACCCTACGTAGGATCACATTCCTTCCCCAGAAGAGACCCAAGAATGGTTGCTTCTTCCTCAGAGAAAGTGACATTCTGCTGAGTTAGATGAACTGCTCCCAGTCAATCCAGAAAGCATATTCATGTGGTTAATTTCATGTGCTTAAACTTTGTGTTTCAAGTTGGGATTCTTGTGAGGTTGGTTGGTTTGTTTTTCTTTTTCACAGAATGAACAATTTTGTCCATTTGTATTCATCAGGGCTGCCTTCATTTCAGATCTCTTGTATTCTTAAAGTTTAATCAACTGGCCAACTGCTTTCATGCTTTGGAGATTAACTATAAAAGCAAGATGAAGAAAAATATGTTAGTCACCATAATCCTGGTGCTCCTGCCCAGGCTGGTGGGGACACCTGTCTTGCAAGAGAAATGGCAGCTCTTATCTCTTACCTTCTGTTGTGTGGGAACAGGAAGGGATGAGAAGACCTTGGAAGAAATGAGAGTTTGAATATCCTGGGGGTAAGATGCTCTTAGAGGGGTGACAGTCTCAGGGAACATAGAGTCTAGAATCCACTCTGAGTGACTGAATTCTCTTGAGCTGCCAGCACAATTCTGACAACTCTGCCCTTGTATTTCCTTTCCATTCCATTCAGAAACCCTTAAAAAAGAACTTGCTTTACAATAATGAAACGAGAGCTCATGTTTACTGTGGCTGGGGGGCAGCTCACTTCACACACATTATTTCTTTAAACAAGAATAATAAAGGTATCTGGCATATTCCGAAGAAGAAAAGGCATTTTATTTCATATCTTACTTCACTGTAGATGTGCACAGAGGATCAAAGTCCTTCTTACAGTAGCCAACTCATGCTCCCAATCCTTGGTTGACAAGGTTAATTGAGAGAGAGGCACAATATTGCTCCTATATGGCAGTTCCAAAAGCGTGTATTCCAGGGGCCTGTCTATTTAGTCAACAAATAAAGAAGAGCCTCTCTGGGGATTTCGGAGAACAAAGGTCTGGGGCAAGGCAGGCACCCTCCGCATCGTAACAGCATTCACAGCAATTATTTCTAATTGGAGTGCATCTTGCCTGGACTACTACAAAGGCCTGAAATATAACTGTGGTTTCACAATACCCCCACAAGTGTCTAAATGAATTTAGATTTATTTGAACGCTCATGTGAGAAGAGAGCACGTGTAAATCAGAGGGCTCTGCATAAATAACGAGGTGATCTGATGCCGCTGGCGAGCAAGTGTCCCCAGCCTGGGTTTCCTACCAGTTTCCGTCCAAAATTTCATCCTAATGAGGCCATGATCAAGAGCCCAGCATCAAAGACTCAGAAGGCTGGAGGATAAGGGCCGTCCCCGGGGGCGAGCGCCCTGCCCCCCAGAAGCATCATCTCACGTCCGGTGGTCGGCATGCGGCTCAAGAACAGGAACTCTTGGAATTAGAAGGAGCCTGGCAGGGGACACCTGTGACCGTGCTCGCTTGCTCACTTGCTCTCTCTCGCTTCTATTTTACTTACTCATTTTTTTGGCTTGGATTTTACACTGTGATGCTGTATCAGTCGGCTGGGGCTGCCATGACAAATTACCACAGACTGGGTGGCTTAAACAACAGAAAGGTATTTTCTCACAGTTCGAGGGGCTGGAAGTGTGAGGCCAAGGAGCCGGTGGATTCGGTTTCTGCTGAGGGCTCTCCTCCTGGCTGCGGACAGTCCTCCATGTCCTCACATGGCCTTTCTTTTCTGCATGGCCTCCGAGAGGGAGACCTTGCTCCTCCTTTTGAGGGCACTAATCCTATCCTGAAGCCCCACTGTTGTGGCCTAATTAACCCTAACTACCTCCCCAGGGCTCCATCTCCAGATACCAGCTCACCGGGAGTTAGGGCTTCAACACATGAATTTAGGGGAATGCAAACATTCAGTCCACGCAGATGCCAAAACAGAAGGGAAATCCAGGCCACGGGTGACCTTTAGACTCCTCAGTGTCCTAATGCTGAGGTGGTCACGGTTTGTCAAGTGAAATCACTTAGAATCTTTGAAGGAGAGTGAATCGGAGATGCTTGAATAAAACCTAACTGTAAACTCTGAGAGTCAGCACTTGAGACGAAAGTGACTGAGCATTTGGGCCACCAAAGAAGCTGATAGGCAAGATACCCGTGCAGAACGGTTCTCTGAAGAGAAACCCAAGCTCCTTCAACGCCTGTTTGGGGATTATCCAAGCGCCCCCAGCTCACTCCTTGTCCACGCTGCCGAGCAGTTCCCCTTTGCTGCCTGTGGACAGGCCAAGACAGGGCCTTCGAGGAGAGCCTGTGGCCTGGAATCCCCCACCCCCTTTTGTTCATTAGCTCACTATCTAACTGGAAACCAAACCAATAACAAGAGCACAAGTGACTACTGCCCGTGCCTTGGGGAGGCCATTCGCAGGGTGGAAACAACAAAGGTCCACTGTCCGTGCCTCAGAGTGCACGTGCCCCTGGGTACCCTCACTGCAGATTGGGGATCCGGGATGAGACTGGTAAGCTAGCTCAGCTCATCGTCCTCCAGGCCTGGGGCTTCCCTGGTCGGCCCCACACGGGTCTTCAGAGTCGTAACTTACAAAGGGAGCAAAGAACTCCCACTCGCCCTCCATCCAAAGCCAAGCAGACCCGTCACCCCTCAGGGCTCCTCCTTCTTGTCCCCAGGGTGGCCTCAGACCTCCTCTCTTTTCCAGACCACCACAGCCCGTCACATACCTTCCCAAAGGTAAGTCCCTTTCCTACGTCGCCAAGAAAATTGAAGCTCAAGGCATAAACTCCCTCAGTTCCCCAAAGCAGTGTCCTCAAAGGCGCTGCTTCTGCCTCTGCCGCTCTCCTCGTTCGCAGCGAGCCTGCTCAGGGAGATGCGTCCAGGGCGTCCTCGGAGGCCCCTCACCCGTATCTCAACCCCTCCTACCGCGATCTGCTCCCCCACGTCCCAGAAACACACTGAAGACCATGTGAAGACCATGTCTTTTGTAAAGACACCGCAAAAACCTCCATCCCGCGACCGCAGCACCTCTCTCCTCCCCACAAGTAACAGCAGCTTTTAAAACTCAGCCCAGAGTAACTCGTCCTTGGAGCCCCCTCGGCTCCAGCCTCCACATTCACCACATCACGGGGGTTTTGACGAAAAGATCTCCAGGGGTTTCACTCCTCGGCCTTTTTTACGTCTCGGGACTGATGCTGTGACCCTCTCTGCCCTGGGGTATCTGCCAGGTGGCCACCTCCACCGCTCACCCTCTGAATCATCAGCGATCCTCAGGAGGCCGTCCTCGGGTTGCTCACCCTGTAGACTCCCCCGGGGGCTCCCCCTCCCACACTCCACCCAAACCGCCTAAGCCAGAAGCCCAGGTGTAATGCCTCCCTCTGCGCTCACTTCACCTCACACCCCCACATCCAGCCAGTCAGCAGACCCCGTCTGCTCTGCCTCTGGCCTGTCACTGAAGGCTGTCATCACCACCCCCTGGGCTACAACCTTAGTTCAGGCTCCTAGGTCTGTCCCCTGCCACTGCATTGGTTTCCCAGCTGGCCTTTCTGCCCTGAGGCTTGCCTACAAGTGAGGACTACGTTCAGCTAGGGTAACTGAAAATCCCAGGGTTACAAGCAAAGGCTTGAAGAAAGTAGAAGTACTTCTCTCTGAGGTTGAAAAAGCCTGGAGGTAGGTGTTCGGGCTGCTCCATAGCCATCAGGGACCCAGGCTCCCGCTGCGTCTGCTCTGCATGGACTGCAGCCCAAATGTCAATGATGAGAACAGTCCACAATGACCACTGAAACCTCAGCCAATACACCCACATCCCTGCCCACAAGAGTCCAGGAATCTACATCCTCTAATGACAACCCGTGGACACTACCCCCAACAAACACCATATCCTGTTAGCTATGAGACCAAGCCAGCCTGCAAAGGATGTGGGGTGTGGTCTCTAGTCTGCAGCACAGGAACCAGCTAAAGACCAGGGTTCCACCATCACAGAAAAAGATAAGAACAGGCGCTGGTGTCAGCTGACAGTTCCAGCCCAGCCTACTTCCCCAAATATCTAGGCATCCTCTCATCAGATGGAGCCCACTGGCCTGCTCCACCCCAAAGCCTTCCCACTCACTGCAGGTCTCGCAAAGTCCAGAATTTCTGGTGCAGAGCGGCACTCCACATCAGACCCAGACACCGCTGCTCACGGCCTGATGACCAAGAAGGTAAAAGGAGAGCAATTTTCCCATTACACTCAGCATACAAGGCAGCTTGGAAAGCAGGATG